CCAGTTAAACCAGTATTCCCAAGTTGTTTGAAACATTTTGATTAAAAGAAAAATTAAGAAATGCCTGGAATATTTCTCAATATATTGCCAATTTTTTATTTTACATCTATGGCGCCCATAGACATAAGCAGAGAAAATCTCAAATCTCAAACCAAAGTTTATTTTTTTAAGAGCCCATAATTGTTACTTAAATATGATCAAATTAAATAATTAATTTACATAAAGATTTCCATATTTAAAACAAAAAATTTATTCAATATTGTAGCCTAGCCACTTGAAAAAGTTTTACCAGTTAAACCAGTATTCCCAAGTTGTTTGAAACATTTTGATTAAAAGAAAAATTAAGAAATGCCTGGAATATTTCTCAATATATTGCCAATTTTTTATTTTACATCTATGGCGCCCATAGACATAAGCAGAGAAAATTATAACATCTCAAACCAAAGTTTATTTTTTTAAGAGCCCATAATTGTTACTTAAATATGATCAAATTAAATAATTAATTTACATAAAGATTTCCATATTTAAAACAAAAAATTTATTCAATATTGTAGCCTAGCCACTATTTTATGATGGAGGCATGAAAATGTACCGCATGTATACCGCAAGAATGACCCTCGTGCACTTGCAGTTTGAGGCCGCTAGGTGGCGATATAACACTATTAATGATTCCGCATCATCTGAGTCGAATGTCCGTCTCATTCTCACACACGCTGCATTTATCCTTACTGTAACTTTGCTGAAGTTTGCGAAAATACATCCAAGGCGTTATATATACAGTTTAGGACAATATTTTCGGTAGATTTAACACTTCAGATATGCTCTTCTTTCTCTCGCACTGAGTTTTCTCACAATTTTGTACCTGGTACGCACTTGTCAGAGGTAACATTGCTTGCATTGTCTCTCGATTGTTATATAGATGCTAAATGAGTATGTGCTCGAACACGGACAGTTATAGTTTATTACAAACGGCGGGCTGCACTTGTGCTGTAATTACTGCTAGTAACAGGAGAGTTATAGTCGCTCCGTCTCGCTGCTTTCTAATGATGAACCGCACACAGCTAATAACGGCAGCCTTTTCCCTTCATATCTTATTCAGGGAATTCTTTCTCCGCGCGCGGGTGGCCTTATTTTGTCGTGTTTAAAGTAATGGGATGTCACTGGTGGAATTGTTTGGGCGTGAGCAATTATTACCGCCCTCCTTCCCCTCTCACTTCTGCTGAAGAAATGTGTTCCCTGGCCTAAACCCTATATCCTCACTACACACTGTCTCATGTAAATAAGCGCCGCTGCTGTTTGTTACCTCTGCAGGTATGGAGATGAAACATGATGAGGAGATTATAAGGGTAATTCTTCCAAATGTAAGCCTTTTCTGTTTCTAAAAGCTGATTTTTAGAAGTTAATTTGAAGTATTTTAAATGATTATTATTATTATTATTATTTTGTAAATAGCTTTGTGTCATCTCAGGATAAACTTAAATGTTTTTAAATGCTGATATATAGCTTTAAAAAGGGACAAGGTTGACAATTTTAACATTTTTAGTCATGGTAGACTTTTTGCTCAAGGTCATGACACTATAAGGTGTTTATTAGAAAAATAATTTTAATATATATTTTATTTGTATATTATTAGCCTACAAATATCTATTTTTCAGTAGAAAGTTTATTGTTTACTGTGCTAACAAGCTGGACAAACCTGACTAAACATATAATAAAGTGACAAAAAAAAGGAGACGCTGAACACTGACACATTGAGAAGTCTTTGAGAAGAGTTTTATTAAGGGGTTTATTAATGTTTAAATTTAAAAAAATAAAATAAAATATGTGCAATAAAATCTACAATTATACAAAGAGACAAATTGCAAATGTCTTTTATTTTATATTTTAATATATTTAAGATATTTTATTTGATAATACTAGAAAATACTAATTACTAGATTAAATTTCCATATTTTTAACTAAAATGTAATAGAAAATAATATAAAAAATTATTATTTAAATTCTATAAAAATAATTTTTATTTTATGCCTTTAGTAACATCATAGTTATAGCCACTATTTGCACATTTGTTCATGAGAAACACAAAATTAACCCCTTTTGTGGAATGACCCAAAAAACACAGTACATGATTTAATGAAAATTGAATATTTATTGCCAAAATCTGTCTGGCTGTTTGTGAGCCCAACTTTCCTGTCTGGCCTTGTGGCTCTATGACACTCAGTCTCTTTTATCCTTCTTTCCTGGGTGTCAGTATTTCAGGAAATGAATTTTCGCTCTGACACTCGACAGAGTGCTATGCAATGATCCTTCGGCACTGTTCAGTCATGATTCTCCCATTCTTGCCTGCTTTGGAACCCAGATTAGATTTGTTTGTCATCATCCATCACCCATTTCCATTGTCTTTATGCATAATATCCATTATCCTGCGTGTATCAACGTGGCTAAATCTAATTCATCTCACGAAGAAAAAAAATTCTCACCAGAAATAAATCAATTACCAACAGCTCATCTTACATACCCACTTCTACAGGCGTCCCACAAAGCAAGAAAACATTCTCTTTCAGAGGATAAATGTAGAAATATTGATTGTGTTGGAAGAAATATTCCTCAAGTTATGATCAGACATTTCCATAATGCTCAGTCCTCCGAGAGAACAATCTCAGAAGGAAGAAGTCTCAGCGGGGATCCTATAACACAAGCTCTCTGATAAAAGACATTTATGCCCTTTCCTCCAATTCTACTCTATCAGCATTATTACAACTTGTATTCTCTCATATGCCAGTTGTACATTAAACGCTGTAAGCCATATGCAAAACACTCATTCTTGGGGCTGTAGTCTGAACTAAGTAGCCAACTTGCTTAACTGACGAAAGGAAGTCCAGCAGTGAAAGCAAGATGTGCTGTCCGTAAACCTGAAACAAACTCTGTTATGTTCAGTTGTAGTTGCTGTGTTGTTGCTTTGTAGATTAATCTAAATTTTATTCATCCTTTCCTCATAGAGAAGTAAAATACAGAATATACTGCAATGACAAGTGCAATAAAGTGCGCACACACTCTTAAAAATAAAGGCTCTTTATCGGCATCTATGGTTCCATAAAGAATCTATAACATCCATGGAACCTTTTCAATGCATAAAAGGTTCTTTATTGGAAAAAGATTATCTAGATTATAAAATGTTCCTCACACTAAGAAAAAAATGGTTCTTCTAAGAACTGTTCACTAAATGGTTTTTTGGGGAGCCCAAAATTCTTCTTCCATGGCTTCATGCATCCTTGCTACATATTTGCCACGTGCAACCGATAAAAGTATAATATTAGGGCTTATTGATATACTTTTGAACAAATTTATTGGATTGACAGTAATGTGGGCCATAGGACTCTGAGGACGGGCCATATACAGTTATGATTGGATGGCCAGGTCAACATAGACATGTGCTTCTCACTTCATACACTAGCCTTGTGATCCACATCTAAATATTCTTCACACGATGCCACAACATATGATATGACTCCATGCATTCTTGCAAAAGTGCAATTGGACAGCTATTTTGCCCGAGGCCTATGAAAACAAGCAGCGAACATCTAGAGAGCTTCACAAGGTTGTTTGTGGTTAATATTTTATTAGATAAATGTCCGGGCCAGAGGATGTTCAATGGTGAAAATAAATAGCATGGAATATTGAGTGCAATGGCAGTACTTTTAAAATGAGGATTCAAATGGGTTATATTTCTTGTTGTACCGAATACCCCTTTTATCTCTTTTTTTATACCTGAAGGAGACAAAGATTCCAATTTCCTAGACGAGACGACCGGGATTGGAGACGCATATCAAAGGGTAGCGTGTGTATAGGTGGCTTAACCAAGGCCTCTTTATCCTTCCTTAAATCAGATGCAGTGTGATGATGAGAAAATACACACTTTCAGTATAGTATCAAATGTTAAACCTCTAAACTACATATGACCTTTTGGTGTAGGATGAGTAGGGGTATCCAGGACTGTTATTTGTGATGGAAACCCTTGCAATTCACAATGGAGATTTCAACTCAGCTCAACCTTGAGGGCTGTCAGGCTGTGATTGGCTATTGATAACATCATTTGCCACATGATAGAAATCTAAAGAGTAGGCTACCCGACTATGAGACTGAACGAAATAGACAAAATCGATCCCCAAAGGATTAGACTGTTTGAGCGCCTGCCTCCAAGCACGGTCGGGTTAGAGGTGTAAAAATTTTTAAACCTTATCACTCACTTTTTTTTTTGCCAGGCTTGTCGTTATAGTACAGCCCCCTTATTTCTACACTTGTAAGCGATGACATCAGTTAGCGTGGCTACTTGAAAGATCGCGCGCAAATAGACAAAATCGATCCCCAAAGGATTAGACTTTGAGCGCCTGCCTCCAAGCACGGTCGGGTTAGAGGTGTAAAAAATTTTAAACCTTATCACTCACTTTTTTTTTTGCCAGGCTTGTCGTTATAGTACAGCCCCCTTATTTCTACACTTGTAAGCGATGACATCAGTTAGCGTGGCTACTTGAAAGATCGCGCGCGGGGCGGGGGTACAGCCGGCACACGTGCGCGGAATAAGCAAGGGAAGTTCGCAATTCTCTTGCCAAATTGATCGCAGCTCGGGAGGAGTGTGCGAGGCGCAGTTATCATCGCAGACTTCCCCATCACTCACAGTCCCAGCGGTTCCGTAGGAAGACAGCTGTTAATAACCTAACAAGCATGTCTGGACTGGAGCATTATAAGGTCATTAGTCTACTAACCCCCATATGGATTTACGCGCTTCTTTTCTGAGATTCAAACGCTGACGGTGCTTTTCCCTTTTTCTTTTTCGTCCTCTCTCATTCATCCCGTCGGTGATGTGTGGAGATTGGTAAAATAATGGGCAAATTCGGTTTATGAACTCTCCGTGTGATGGACAGGCGATTATTGAGCTCGAGCTCGGCTGGAGTGAGTAGAAAGTGAACTCATTTGAAACAAACATCTGTCTTCAGGACTCCTGCCACCTTTTGAAGCAAGGAGAATGCCCTCGCTTTCGTAAACGGAGGTAACCTGCTTCTCATCCTCTTTTTTTGGTTCGCTCTTCAGCTTAAACGGTGACATTGATTAGTTGTTGACTGCAAATTGATATTGGCTGGGTTTCCAGAAGCGCCAAGTAGAGCATTAGTCGCACGTAAGTAATACGCCTTCCCAAAAGCATCGTTGTCAGTAGCACGCAAAAACGTTCTTAAGTTAAGAACGTTAAACGGATCTCTTTTTATATTTATAAGGGATGTTTAATAAATGTTATGAATGCGTTTTTTTTTTATCATTGCAATGCTACCGTACATTAAAACAATTGTTATAAAGTCTTGATAAAAATCGCATTTATAGTGATAGGCTACTCCACAGTCTGCGCATGTCATGTGACAAACTTATATTTACATGACAGGCGACAAGGCATAAATTTATGTGGGCCTACTTTGATACACATAAGTGATTCGTTCTTAGTAACATTTATTTTCACTAGGAAATGTGAAAATGTAATAGTTAAAAAAAAAAATCATAACAAATGATTTGATTGACAGTGTTTTAAATGAGCGCCTCCCACTCTTTCTTCCTCCGCCTCATCATCCTCTTCTTCTTCCAGTGGCAGGTTCACATATTGCATGTTGCATGGTGGCAGTACATAGACCTCAAACCAAATGATCTGGAAATACACGACATATACCTATTAATTGTAATGCTGTTAGGTTTTCTTCCTAAGGAACACAACAACTAAGTGAGAGGGAGACAGAGACCCATTGTAATGATCCACGTAACGCGCTCTGCCATCTATTCTGAAATGTTTAATAACGTTTAGCGCATCGTTAAGATGACGTTCAGTTTCCATTTTGGCAGTATTTTCACACTATTTGAGGAAACAGGCTCCTGGGCATATTGGAAATAAGTTTCAGCATTTGTGCAGCATCTTCGGACCCGTAACGACGCGCTCTACTTCATAATGAACGATCTACGTGTCACAGCCGTAAAAGTAGATATTTTTTTCATACAAGTGCATAGCATATAAATTAGAATATAGACAACATAGTCTAGATAAAAGTTGGATCACAAGTTAGCCAGAGTGCGTATTTTCACCCTTCGTCAAACAGACACGCCCAGAAGTCGCGTTCGCCAGAGGTAACCATAACAACAGGACTGTTCACGCGCTTTCCACCCAGTTTTCTGGGCTGTAGGCTACATAAAACATAAGACATTATGTATGACTTGTTTTGATTTGCATATCACGAACAAACTTTTAAAAAGTCTAATAACTGACTTTTAGCTAACCGTGCAAGTGGCGCCAGATTACAATTTGCGCAGCGCTAGACGACCCTCGACAGATTGCACCCGAACAAATACCTTTACATGAACTAATAATTTAGCAGATTTTTTTTAAAATTGTCACCTCACATTGAAGCCTATTGCAGGCTATTCGCACACTGGATGAACCGCTTTATTGCGTAAGGAGACTAAACAAGCGATCAGTAAGGGTTTCCGAGCTGCTTAGCGCCTATAAAAAACTGTAACCATGAGAGATTCGCTGATCTGGCGCTTTTAACGAATGCGCTCTCAATGGAGAAGGAATAGAGCTGTGCGGCTGACGCGCGATGTACTGACAGCGCGTGCCGCCTGGACTAAACCCACCAGCCTCCTCACATCATGTAGTAATCGCGCTGCATCTTCATCTCCACCCCTTTCCCCTGCCTGCCTTTTTTAAACCATGTTTTGTCCAATAAGTATTGCGAGCGTGTAATTATTGTCCCTTTGTTTCGCGCCGCAGAGACAGTCGTGTCAGTAGTTCAACCGAGGTTGGGCGAGAATGTAAAGCGACTTAATTGTCATCGACACTCACATTAAGAGCCAAGCAGCACAGCGGAGATTACTCAATGAAAGTAAGAAGAGCTGCACATGTATTTTCCCAACTCTATCACACACAGTTATCTCTTTCATTTGGGCCTTGAATCACAGTGTTTCCTTTGAGAGAGATGTAGGCGAGAAAGCATGTGCATTGTGCAAGAGCACATCTTGGGCGGCTGCCTGCAGTCGATTGGTTTCCCCTCTGTTGATGTCAGTTCTGCGTTAACTCGTAACCGGCATTGATCTTTTTTCTTTTCTTTTCTTTTTTTTTTAGATGACAACAAAACGACTAACAGCATTGAATTAAGCAAATTATATGGGGTCCTTTGTGAATATATTTTACATATAATCTTGTTTGAGGAAATGTATTTGTTTATTTATTTAAATTAAAATTAAAATTAAAAAATGTAAATGTAAATTATTACATTTAATTATTTATTTAAAATAGACTGGTCACTATGATATTATAATCATTATTATTTAATATTATTAATACTAATAATTTCATAATAATTTATTAATTAATAATTGTAATTTTAAAATTGTTATTATAATTGATCATTATTTTAAATAATTAAAAAATAATAATAATTAAATTTTAATAATAGATTTACCCATATACAATTGCAGTACAGCATTGATATTTAGGCTAGGTTTAGAAGTGATAAATTTTTTTTGCATTATAGTAAGCAAAATATTTTTCTTTTCTCCTTTCCTCAGTAAGTACGTGGGAGGACATGTCATGTTCATATACTAGGGTGGGAGGGAAGTGGTGGGATAGAGTGGGGGAACGAGGGATGCTCAGGGGGATCTCTGATAGATAAGGCACGGATTGTGAGCAGCTCAGCTGGTCAGATCTGCTCTCTGAGCTCTGAGCTGGCATTAGCCGATCCGCTCTGTTCTGCCGTGATGGATGGATGCTCTTAGAATGGACAAGGACCTGGGAGAGAGAGGTAGAGTGAGAGAGCATCACAAAAAGAGAGATGGTGGGAGGGTTATTAAAGAGAAGGAGGGAGTGATATAAATCGAAAGGGGTGAGAAAGAAATTAATGATGGAGGGAGAGACAGAGTGAGAGATTCACGAGGAACAGAAGGCAGTAATGGGAAAGTCTCTCATCTGTAAATGAGATTGTCCCTGATGGCCATTTTCTCCCCCAGTTCGCTCATTCTTCTTTCCCTCGCAAACCTCAATGCTCCGTTGAACGCAGGTCTCAATACTGGACTCCGCAAGTGCTGACAGTGAAAAACAGAGACACTGGAGGGAGTCGGGCCTCGGGTGGCTCTTTCGTATTTTCCCCTTTTTCATGCAGTCACTTCACACCACTTGGCCCTGAAACCTTAAAAACAAGGGAGGCCTAAGAGGGCACATTAGTCAACAAAAAAGTTAAAGAGAAATAGAGTTGAAAGCTCAAAATGTGGGGGAAAAATACATCAAAGGTATAAAACGGCAAAGCAAGTTTGTTTGTAGTACACCAGTTTTAGGACTTCAATTTAGGTACACCTCTGTCTGGTATACCTGATTCCAAATGGTAAACTGCGCCATCCAGTGGCCCGATATTTCCAAATATTCGCAGTCGTCAGTATCAATGCTCTATATTAGACCGCTTATCTGGGTAACTGAAACTGGCACTACTTTCGTACTCTCTTGTTTCATACAAATGCAACTGCCACCATCTTGCGTCTCAGTTGTCAATAGTGAAAATCACCTCAAAGGCCTTCAGTATTTTTATCAATGTAATATTGTGCGATGCTCATGATGTTGTTTGGCTGATTGTTTTGCTCATTAATGGACTTATTTTTTTTTTAAGCAGAACTACTAGTAAAATTATACAAAGTTTTATAATAAATGAATGTTTTTTTAACTCAAAATAATTTTAACTCAAACTTTAACTTTAATCAGTTTCATGAATTTTTTATGTATGTATGTATTTATTTTATATTATATATTTGAGACACTGAATAATTATTGACAACCTGAATATTTGAAAGGTCTGTCACTTATCAAGCATTTCATGATTTGTATATATGGGTAATTTATAGAGTTTTATCTTGCGAAATGACTGTACATTTTCCCTGACATAAAGACCTTACATAAACTGTATTTTTGACCACTGTCCTTGGAAACCAATCTCCTGTGCTATTTTGTGTCCATTTATTTGCTAATATTTTTAAGTACATACATACATATTTACAAAAAACAACCCAAAAGCACCATGGTACAGTATGAAAATGCTTTTTAGATATGTTTCATGGTAGTGCCATTTGAAATACCTTGTAGTACCACATACATACTATGATATGAATATAATAATCATTCAATAACATGGCATCAAATATCAAAGAAAGTACCATCTGATACCTTTACTGCACCATAATACTGCTCTTTTATATAAGTGTACTGGCTCATATTCCTATCTATTATTTCTTTTTTTCTTTGTTATAGCTTTACAATTTTTACTGTCTGCTCTGATGGTATTAAATAGTGTCAGAGCCTCCTCCTTTTTGCACTGAGTGGTGGCTTGGATTGGTTTATTCCACTCAGAATGGATGACACCCATTTCAATGGGATTTGCTTTAAATAACAGGCTAAAGGAAAAAGCTCTTCGGCTTTAGCATGGGATATGTCGAATATGCACACACTTCTGTGTGATCTGAGCAGTGTCAGTGAGAGCTGTCAGATTTAAATTAAAATATGTTGAGGTGTTACCACACCAGAACAGAAGCCTGCGCTATTGTCTTAAAAAAGACACACACGCACATACAACACACACAATAACTCCACAGAACATTATAACCCCAAACCATAGGTTACTCCTTTTAGTGGATTGGGTTGCTTTGACATAAGGTGAAGCAGTACCTTCAGTATTCAGGTTACAACTCTGAACGAAAAGAATAAGCCTATTAAATGTGCATCAGTTTTGTGGCCAGCTTTAAGTGCTTTTGTGGCCCAAGCAAATGGAACGGAAATGTTGCTTTTCAATTGTAGAGATTCTCAGCCAACTCACAACAATCTCTATCGATAAACCTGTTTTGTCTTTTCAGTGGCTCATATGAGCTTTCAGACCTATTGTGAGATTTGAAAGCTCAAGAGTTTCAGAGTCTATAAACGGTGTCTAGGCATCTACACACACCTGCTGAAAAAATACAGCTTTGAGGAAAATACATGGT